CAAAGGTTCCAAAGATACCGATGATGGTCCCCAACAGGCTCCCAAAAGAGCTTTTTGAAGTTCCCATGAGGCGCCCAGAATGAAGGGGTGCCCGGCGTGCTGGATCCTTTCGATTTTGGGCTTGGTTCTTTTCCCAAAGAACTCCCCGTGGGGCTTCGGCCGATCCCGCCAAGGTCCCGGAAAGGCCCCGAAACCACCTCAACGACCGCAACAACTTCTCCAAGGCGGCTCAAGATGGCCTCTAAGATGGTCACGCTGGCCCAAGATGGCCTCCAAGATGGCCTCCAAGTCGTCAAAGATGGTCCAAGATGGCTTCCAAGATGGCCCGAGAGAGTCCATAATGCCCTCAAGTTCGTCCAGGAAGCCTCCAAGACGGCCCAAGATGGCTCCAAGATGGCCTAAGACTGGCCAAGAGGCCCCCAAGAGGCCTCCAAGACGTCCTCCAGGAAGGTCCGAACGGTCAACAATCATTGATTTTCATTTGGTGTTTGAAGGATTTTTGCATTTTCTTCTTGTCAGCTCTCCTCAGCTCTCCTCAGCTCTCCGACGGCGCAAGAGGCCTCATGACAGCCCGAGAGGCCCCCACGATGCCTCCAAGATCCCAAGACGGCCCAAGATGGCCCCGAAGACGCCGAAGATAACCCCAAGGACTCTTACTCCCTTCCCCTTCTTTCTCACTCTCCTCCTCTTCCCCAACCTCCTCCACGTGTTCCCAGAAAGCTTTCCAAACCGATTCGGGGTACACTCGTTCCAAAATGTTGGCAAGGATCTGACCCAACCTTCGGCCAGCAGGCCCCAAGACACCTCCGAAAGCTCACAAGAGCCCCCAATGGGCCCCGAACACGCCCATTCCTCACTCTCCTCCTCTTCCCAGTTCTCGCCCACGTGTTCCCCGAAGGCTTTCCAAACCGATTCGGGGAACACATGGTCCGATAGCTTGGCAGGGCTCTGGCCTCAACGTTCGGCCACATAGGCGCGTCCGAAAATGCAGGGGGCGGCGGTGACTCGCCGTAGGCGTCTTCGATCCGCCGCCCCCTGTGCTTGTCACAAGGGTATCCGGCGTGCTAGACCATTTCGGTTTTTGTTTTGTTTCTTTTCCCAAAAGAACTCTCCCCTGGGGCTTCGGCCCGTCCCGCCGGCCACCTGGAAAGGACCACAAAGCACCCAATTTGCCAAATGTTGTCCCCAAGATGGCTCAAGATGGCTTTCAAGACCGCCAAGATGGCCCAAGATGGCCTCCAAGACGGCCCAAGATACTTCCAAGTCCGCCCAAGAAGCCTCCAAGACGGCCCAAGACTGCCCAAGAGGCCTCCAAGATGGCCTAAAAGGCCTCCGAGAGGTCCTTCAGGAGGGCGAAGAAGCTAAGATTATTGATATTCCTATGGTTTTTGAAAGATTTTCGTATTTGCTCCTTTTCGGCCCTCCGACGGGCCAAGAGGCCTCCAAGATCGCCCCCAGAGCGGCCTCCAACATGGCCTCAGGACTGCCCAAGAGGCCCCCAAGACAGCCCCAAGAGGGCCCAAAGACGCCCCAAGAAGCAAGAGGCCCAGATCAGTGATTTTCCTTAGGTTTTTGAAGGATGTTGGCATTTGCTTCTTTTCGGCCTACCGACGGCCCGAGACGGCCCAAGAGCTCCCGAAGATCGCCACAAGATCGCCCAGGAGGCCTCCAAGATGGCCCCAGAACGGCCCAAGAGGCCCCCAAGACAACCCCAAGAGGGCCCCAAGACGGCCCAAGAGACTTCAACACGCCCAAGATGGCCTCCAAGACTGCCCTGGAACACCCCAAGAGGCCCCAAATTGGCCCAGAGAAGCCGCAAACACGGTTCCCGACGGCGTCAGACAGGCCACCAAGACGGCCAAAGAGGCACCCGAGAAGCCCCCAAAGGCCCCAAGAGACCCAAGGAGGCCCCCAATATGCCTCCAAGAGGCTCCCAGGAAGCTCCCAGGAGGCCCCAAGAGTGTCCCCAGAGGCCGCCAAGATACTCCCTCCTCCTCCTCCTCCTCCTTCTCCTCCTTCTCCTCCGCCTCCTCCTGATCTTCCCCCCCATCCTCCCCCAAGTGTTCTCCGAAGGGTTTCCACAACGGTTGGGGGAGCACATGGTCCGATAGCTTGGCAGAGCTCTTGCCACAACGCTCGGCAACATGGGCGATTCTAGAAGGCAGGGGGCGGCGGTGATTCGCTGTAGCCGTCTTCGATAACGCCAACGTCTCAATCTGTGCTGATGATTCCTATCCGCCCCCGCGTGATGTTCACAGATGCGCCAAGGCAACGCCGAGACGCACCGACGCGACTCTGTTAGATCCCATTATGATAGAGATGGGGCCGGGGGCAGAGGGCGAAGCCCTTACGGATAACTCGTCGTTGCCTCTGCCGGTCCTCTTACATCTGCTTTTGGGCTGCCTTGGGGGGCTCTTGAATCGTCATGAGGCCGTCCTGTGTCTTGGAGCGCTCTTGGGCCGTCTTGGAAGCTTGTTGCCGTCCCAGTGGGCCGTGGGGGACACTTCGGGGGGCTCAAGAAGTTTCCCAGGGGCCAGAAAGAATGCCCACTGTCCCCCGGGGCCCAAATTTGCATCTGGAGGAGGGGGAGGGGGGGATTCGGGGAAATTCAAAAGGGTGTGCCCGGGCCCCCGGTATTCAGGGATATGATATAAAACGTGGCAACCAAAACAAAAATATCAAAGACAGCCGAAGACCACCCGAATACATCCGAAAACCGCCAGCAAAAGCGCCGAGAACCATTGCAGACCGCAGCAGGCCCCCGAAGGCAACCGAAACCCATCGAGAGCCGCCCAACACTGCCGGACATCTCAGCTCCAGCTCGGTCCGAGGCCTCGGCGACGACGGCTACGACACGGCGGCGGCGACGACCCGGAAGACGGGGCTTAAAGCAATTCGCCTGATTGGTCAAATTCCTCTTCCCTCCCTCTCTTTCTCCTCCCCTTCCTCCTCCTCGTCCTCCTCCTCCTCCTCCGCTTCCTCTTCTTCCTGAGTCGAGGGATGGGAGGTGGATCGAAGAAGGGATGAAGGGTGTTCGACGAACCCAGAATCGCTTGAGGATCTTGCGCTGGCCTCTTTTCTCAACGACCGTACCGGCCACGCGGTTGTGAGGCAAAAAAAGCGCCACACTTTGTTGGCGCATTGGGTTGGACGGTGATTGACACGAGATGAGGCTTGCCCTCGGCTTTCGCCAATTGTTTGTATTCGTTGCGAGGCGGGGATTTATACAAATCCACCGCCTGGGAGCCGACGTCCTGGTGCCCCAACGGGCGGTGGACATGGACACGTGTTGCCCACCGGGCCCGATTATATCCGTACCCATCGCCCGTGGAGGCCTGCGAGGATCGACCCCGCAGGCGGTGGTTGTGGATGAATCCCGGCCTCGGCTTCGTTCGTGTGCAGCCGAAGGGCGTCCTGGGGTGATTCGGGCGGTGATACAGTCGGGGCGTTGACCTAAGGAACCTTAAATACGGAACGACGCCCCTCTTTTCCATAAGTTAATGTTTCCCATACAAAAACCTAAGGGGGGCCCGATGCAAACTGTAAAACTATCAAGGAACACCGAGCCCCTCCCCAACGAAAAGCGTTCCTTCTTCAGGGCCCCGACTGCAATGAGGGGTGACCCAAGTGGGGGGTGAAGAAGGGGGCCCTAAAGGGGGCCCTTTAGGGTCCCTTTGAAAGCCAGTGGGTACCCAAAAGGGGCCCCAAAGGGCCCCTTTGGGATATTCTTCTCCACCCCCATTTGGGCCGCACCCCATTGCCACCCGCCCGAGCGATCCTAGGCGGAGTCCAAGACACCTCCCGAAACCCCAAATTCTGGGACCAAAAAGGAAAAAGGGTAAACATTCTGTGAACGCCCTCGCCGCCGTGACACGCAGCGCTCGAGGACCAACAGGGGCAAACACATTGTCTGAACGCCAGCCAACCACTGGGTACACAATTTTGAACCCACTACTGGTGCAATAAATGACCTTGTCTCTCGTTTTGAACTGCTTGATGTATTGTCTGCTGTACGGTGATCTTGAGACTCCTTTGTGGGGTTGTACAGCTATACGGACCCTGCGCAGCTGTACAACCCGGATCCTGAGCCCCTCGGATCCTGGATGGCTCCTCGGATCCTTAGCGTGGCCACTAATGCTCGGATTCTCTTGGATCGGCGCTGGACCCCCCCAGGGAAGGCGCCAGAGGCGCCGCCAGGAGGGCCCAGCGCCGATCCAGGAAATCTGTGCGGCCCTCCGAGCAAGCATGTTCATGCAATGTTTGTTCTTCGATCGTCGACCGTCGATCGTCGACGGCGGCGACCAGTGGCGTCCTGCGGCAACCACCGCTTCGTGCCGAACACGTGCGTGCGCTAAAGCTTGCTCCTCGAAACCTCCTGGAGCCTGAGAGCCACGGCACGGCAGTAATGATCAGCCACCACCGCGCCCAGACAACCACCCGAAAAATGTTGCTCAATCGACCGTCGATCGCCGATCCTCGATCGACCGCCGCTCGTCGACGGTTGATCCTCGATCGACGGTTGACGGCGGCGACGAGCACAGATCCAAGAACTCCGCGCGGAGATCCGAACAATTACGTTCCCAAATATCCGACCGCTCCAATGATCTCGATGCACGGGCCCTTGAGGTCATGACCACTTGCCGATTCTTCGTCCTGGGCAACTTTTCGTCGGTCCCGAGGCCCGGCGAGGGCCCCCGGAGGCCGAGAACTGCCCAAAAACCCGCCGCTCCAGCTTGTGTTGGAGCGTCGGATCTCTGGCTTTGTGCCGCCTCTTTTGAAGGGGAACTGGGACACACAAATAAATACACACAAATAAAAAGATCCCCCATATTTTCCTATATTTTCTGGGTTTTTGTCCTCCCCACCACTTCCCATATTTTCCCATATTTTCCTGGGGAATCGAGGATTAATTGTGTCTGTGTGTTTTTTCCCATCCTGATCTTTGTGTCTTCGACTCGTGGCGATCTGTCGATGGCCGACGGCCGGCGGCGGCGGCCGGCCTGCGGCGGCGAGGCCGAGCGCAGCCCCGCGCGCTCCGCCTGCCCGTGGGGGGGGGGGGGGCAAAATCGCCGCCGAGCGGCGCCGGCGAACGCAAGGAGCAGGTCGTCGTCTCCCCCGACCAGTGCCTGCACTGAAGGTTGACGACGACGACGACGACGACGACGACGACGACGACGACGACGACGACGACGACGGTTCCCTGACACTCGCCATCGCTCGGACGTCCATTTTCTGTGTTTTCTTCGGTTTCGTGCGCGGTTTCTCGCCAGATGATCAAGGATGCTCCTCCAGGGTCCTCGCCGAGAAAAAATGCACACGGCCCAGCGATGCCAAAAGGACATCCTGGCGCCCCGATGTTTTTCTGGCCGAGCGATTTCGCCCGGTGCTGGGCCACGGGAGCCTCGCAGATCGATGCGAGGCTCGGAGAGTGCAGCCGAGAGGTGGGCAGAGGGCGCTGGTCGGGATCTTTCTACGATACCGTTAGGTCGGGCATGTCCTCCTCCAGGCAGATCTGGGAGGAAACAAAAAAAGAATAGTCAACCAGAGACTCAAGAATGGCCAGACAGTGGTCGAACAATCGTCCCTGATTGTTGTCTGGCTGCCTTTGGAGATTCCCCCCTGCAGAGGTCGGGAGCGGCCAAGAGGGTGTCCAAGAAGGGGGGGTGCAAATCATGACCGGCGGCACGTGCGCGGCCCAGCGGGGGGGCCAGGGACGTGATGAAATAAGAGGAGGCGCCATGGAATCCGGGGAACTATCATGGCCCACGCCATGATATCCCCCCCCCCCCTAGTCATCACCCCCCTCTTTTCCGCCCCCGATCTTCTCGCGCCGTCGAATCTCAGAGGTGGGCAGCGCGCAGAGAAGGGTAGGGGGAGGGGGGAAGGCTTCGAACAAATCTTAGGGGGCTGCTAGAAGGCGCCAGCCCTAACATCTATGGATAAGGCCCACGCCTTGTATGAAGCAGGGACGCTTCCAAGAAGCATTCCCCTCTGTCCCTAACCCCCTCTGCGCGTGGTCAAATCTATCCCAAAACCATGGTTGCACTGAAGGGGCCCTCGCGGATATAGGAGGATTTCGCGAAAACCCTGGCCGATTCTGGTCGGCGGCTGAATTCCCAAATTCCCAGTTCCTGGTTCTGGGGCTCCTGACAATGGTCTGCTGGGTTCCCGGGTTCCCGGTTCTGGGGGTCCCGGTTGGCGTGGTTTCCGGGTTCTCGGGATTGTGGCCAAGCGCCTGGGTCTTTCATTGTAAACGAGTACAGGGGTCAGAAGAGTTGCGAGCAGAGCTGATCATATGTATTGGAGAGAGAGAGAGTGTGTGTGTGTATTTCGACCACAGTAAGATATAGCACTGCGAAGTCGATAGGGAAGTCAGAGTGAGAGGGTATATAGTACAGATCGAGAATGCAGATCAAAGAGAATATCATGAAACTGTTAACACATTAAGAATTCGCGGGGAAATTAATGCTGCAACTGTAGGGTAAGCGTTACAAGAAATAACTACTCTCGGCGACCACGCTGAAATTAGAATGGGCTTCGAATCGTAGGGGAATACGAACCATACTTGCCAGAGGACTACAAGGGCCAGGGAGAACGACTGAGTTGGAGATTAATTGCATTTGTATTCGCAGAGTTAGAACGACTCATCATTGCTGCAACATTTGACTCCTATTTGCCAAGAGGTTGCCGGAGCCAGAGAGAAATATTGAGCTGGAGAAGACTTTGCATGGAAATTTCTTGACTTAAAGAGGATTTCAAATCGCGGCAGAATTGGAATCAGAATTGCCAGAATATTGCCATGGCCAGCGATAACTATCGACTTCGAAAGGAATTTCCATTTGAATTTCCAGAATCAAACAGGATTCCGAATCGCGGCGGAATGGGACTCAGACGCGCCAGAGGATGCAGGGGCCAGAGAGACATGTTGAGTTGAAAAGGGGTTTGCACTTGAATACCCAGGATAAAAAAGAGTTCTGCCTCGTAGATAAATTAGAAGCAGAATTGTCAGAAGATTGCCAGGGCCAGCGATAACTTTTGAGTTGGCGGGGAATTTGCAATCTAATTTCCAGAGTTAGGAAGGCTTCCGAATCGCGGCGGAATTGGACTTAGATGTGCCAGAGGATGCCGGGGCGATACAGAAATATGGAGTTGGAGGGAAATTTGCAATTGAATTTCCGGAGTTCGGAAGGATTCTGAATCGCAGATACATTAGACTAATAATTGCCATATAACGGCCCAGGAGGGCCCCCAAGACGGCCCAAGTGCCGCCCAAGACGGACCAAGAGGCCCCAAGACGGGCCCAAGAGGGGCTCAAGAGGGGAACCGAGAACTGAAAAATCGAGCCCTCCGCCCCAGAAGGCGCCCAGGAGGCCCCAAAAAGGCCCCAAGAGGCCCCCAAGAGGCCCCCAAGACGCCCCACGAGGCGCCCAAGAGGCCCAAAAGAGGCCCCAAGAGGCTCCAAAACGGCCCCCAAGAGGCCCCAAAACTCGGCTAGCCCACAACGGTGCGACAATATGGGCCGGCGGAATGAGCGAAGCGATTAAATAATTGCCATATGGTGACCAAGGCCAGCGAGAAAGATTGAGTCGGAGAAGAATTTACACTTGAATTTCCAAAATTTGAAAAGATTCGGAATGGCGGCCAAACGGGACTCAGCTTTGCCAGAGGATGCCGGGGCCAGAGAAAGATTGACTTGGAGAGGAATTTGCACATTCATTTCCATAGTTCGAAAAGATGTTGAATCGCGGCGGGAAATTTCAGATTCGCCCGAGGAGCGCGAGGGCTAGGAAGAAATCCGCCGACCCTGTCGGCGTGTGTGAGGGTCTTGTGCGTTCAAGTCGTCATCTCCGTCATTCGTTGGTCGTCGTCTCTGTCGTCCCCTTTCCCTGCCTCCTCCTTTCCCTGGGCTCGTCGAAGCTCCCCCCTTTCCAAGGGACCTCCTCAGCGCGCCAACCAAAGCGAAGTTGAGCAAAGTCGTAATTGAGTCGAAGGGAAGCCCCTTCCCTTCGATCCCTCCCCCGCCGGGGGGGGGTCCCCGGGGGGGGGTCCCGAAGGGGATCCCAGGGGGGGGGGTCCCCAGGGAAGAGGGGGGGGTCAGATACGACGCCCCCCCAGGGAGTCCCAGAGCCCAAAAAAGCCCCAAGACGGGTCAAGAGTGCCCCAAGATGCCCCAAAGACAATCCAAGAGAACTCCGAATCGCCGAACGATCTGCCCAAGACGCCCTGACGGCCTCCAGACGGCCCAAGAGGCCTGCAAAGCGCCCCAAGAGGTCTCCAGGAGCTTTCCCACGAGAGCCCCACGAGGCAAAGTTACTGGATTTCCCAAATTTTTGAAAGACTTTGGCGTTCTTGCCTCTTCCGCTTCCCGACGCGCCAAGACGGCCCAAGAGGCCACCAAGATCGCCCCCAGACGGCCCAAGAGGCCCCCAAGAGGGTCCCCTAACGGCCGAAGAGGGCCCCAAGACGGCCCAAGACGCCTCCAAGACGGCCCAAGAGGCCCCCAAGATTGCCCCAAGACAGCCAAGGAGAGCCCAAAATTGTCCAGGAGGCCTCCATGAGTGCCTCGAGACGGCGCAAGAGGAGCCCTGGACGGCCCAAGACGACCTCAAGAGAGCCCCATGCTGTCTGAAGAAAGCCTCTGGCCTCCTCCTCCTCCTCCTCCTCCTCCCCAGGCCCCTCTGCTCCCCCTCCTCCTGCTCTCCTCTGCCTCCTTCTCCTCCTCGTGCTTCTCCTCCACATCCTTCTCCCCCCTCCTCCTCCCTCATCCACCTCCTCCACCCTTCCTCCCTCCCACTCATCCTCCTCCCCCTCCCCCCCTTCGTTTTCATCTTCGTCGTTCTCAGGGTCGGCGGCACCGGCCGTAAGGCCTTCGCAAGATGGAGTTTAGGAAAGTTTTTAAGATTACAAAGGACTCAAAGTCGTGGTTAAAAGAATTCGAATCAGACTTGCGAGAGATTGCAACGGCCAGGAAGAAATATGGAGTTGGAAAGGAATTGCAATAGTAGTATGCAGAGTTAGAGAGGATCTTGAATCGCAAAGTCATGCAAAACAGATCTGCCAATGGATTGCGCGATTAAATTTTTCAAGCTGCTAGAAAGAATCAGGCATCGCGGCGGAATTGAAATCCGACTTGCCAGAGGGTGGCCGGGGCCCGCGAGAACTATTGAACTGGAGATGGAATTTAATTTTGATTTCCGCCGCGACTCAGAATCCTGTCGGACACGGGAAATTTGATTACACATCCCTCTCCAGCGCAACATTTCTTCCTGGCCCTGGCAATCCTCGGGCGAATCAGATTCCAATTCCGCCGCGATTCGCAGTCCTTTCGAATTCTGGAAATTCAAATGCAAATTTCTCTCCAACTTCATATACCTTCCTGGCCCTGGCAATCGTCGGGCAAGTCTTGTTCCAGCTCCGCCGCAATTAGCAATCCTTTTTGACTCTGGAAATTCAATTGCACATTCCTCTCCAAGTCAATAATTCTCTCTGGCCCATGCCATCGTCTGGCAAATCAGATTTCGATTCCGCGTCCATTCAAAATCGTTGCGAAGTCGATTCAAGTAACAATTCCTCTCCAACTCATTCTTTCTTTCTGGTCCTGGCAATCCTCTTGGCCAGTCTGATTCGAAATCCTTTCCAATGCCTTTCCAATTCTGCGATTCCAAATTCATTCCAACTCTGGAAATTCATGCGCAAATTCCTCTACAACTCGATATTTCGCTCTGGCCCTGGCAATCCACTGGGAATTTCGTGTGTAGCTTCCGTGTAAGTTCGTTTTCGTGCCGCGCAAGAGCGTGCAGTATTCATGCCCGTCGCAATTATTGTTGTACATGTTTAAAGCGCGGGTTACAGCAAGCAGTTCCTAAACCAACGAATGCTACACTTTAGAGCAATGTTTACTGGTAGTATACCTTCCAAGTACGTCATATGCCCTCACACCTCGCTCGGCATTACATTATCTAAGACCTACCCTCCACGATGTATGCGTAGATCGTATGTATCCATAAATACACACATACATCCATACATCCATACATCC